ACTACTGAAAACCAATCACAGTTGGGTATAACTCAATTGAGACACCACACCACATTCGCTCATCTAATCTTTTCCATCTTCAATAAAAAATACATAATGGCTGGACATGGTGGCTCATGCCTGTAATTACAGCACTTTTGAAAGGCTGAGGTGGGCAGATCACCTGAGATCAGTAGTTCGAGACCAACCTGAGCAACATGGCGAAACCCCATCTCTACCAAAAATACAAAAATTAGCCAGTCATGGTGGTGCACGCCTGTAATCCCAGCTATTAGGGAGGTTGAGACAGGAGAACAGCTTGAATCCAGAAGGCGGAGGCATATATTGTGGTTAGTTAATTGCTGTGATCACATACAAAATGTATATTACTTAGGAAATATACATTAGGGGTAAAGGGCCATCATGTCCACAACTTACAATCACATGGTTTGGAAAAAGAAAAATTAACATGTTCACAGAGAGAGAGAGAGAGAGAGAGAGAGAAAGTCTCTGCACACACAACAAAATGTTAACAATTACAATATGGGGTAAAGGGTATAACAGGAATTTCTATACTATTCTTTTTTTTTTTTTTTTTTTTTTAGACAGAGTCTCACTACGTTGCCAGGCTGGAGTACAGTGGCATGATCTTGGCTCACTGCAACCTCTGACTCCCTAGTTCAAGTGATTCTCCTGATTCAGCCTCCCAAATAGCTGGGACTACAAGCACGTGCCACAACGCCCAGCTAATTTTTGTTATTTTTAGTAGAGACGGAATTTCACTACGTTGGCCAGGATGGTCTCGATCTCTTGACCTCATTATCTGCCCGCCTCAGCCTCCCAAGGTGCTGGGATTACAGGTGTGAGCCACCACACTCAGCCTATTCTTGTAACTTTTCTAAATCTGAAATTATTTAAAATCAAAACCAAAACAAAACAGTAATTTTTTACGTCTGTAGAAAGTTGTGCAAGATGGGAAGAAGATCTGTGAGATGAAGAAGAGATTAGCTGCTTTCCCATATTTCCCATATTGTCAGGTTGTATGTGAGGAACAGGCTTCTCTGCTTGGGAGTGAATCTACCAGAAAATTGGAATCCCTACGGCAACCTCCGCCTAGAACCTTGCATTTGTTGAGTCACCACTATGCTTGGCCTTCAAGCAACCAGCCTCTAGAGAGACAATTTTTCATTGCTTCATTCAAGTCTCTCTTGTCAATGCTCAGTCTCTGAAGACTAAGAGATTTTGACCAAAGGACTGAAAATCCCCTTCCAAACTACCTATTGAGAAGAATCCTTAACTGTTACCTTCATTCATGGAACACTACTAGAAACCTACCTTAAAACCTCAAGGTCAGGCTAGGCATGGTAGCTCACACCTGTCATTGCAGCACTTTGGGAGGCCAAGGAGGGTGGATCACCTGATGTCAGGAGCTCGAGACTAGCCTGCCAACATGAGGAAACCCTGCCCCTACTAAAAATATAAAAATTAGCTGGGCATGGTGGCCCATGCCTGTGGTCCCAGCTACTAGGGAGGCTGAGGGAGGAGAATCGCTCAAACTTGGGAGACGGAGGTTGCCTTGAGCTAAGATCACACCACTGCACTCCAGACTGGGTAACAGAGCAAGATTCAGTCTCAAAAAAAATAATAATAATAACCCCTCAGGGTCTAGTTCACGGTGTATGCTTTTGGCTTCCAGAGAGAATAAGAGAAAAGAGGCAATCTCAGACGGCCAAGCCAGAACTTCAGGTTAGAATTTCTTTTTTTCTTTTTTTTTTTTAGACAGAGTCTTGATTTGTTGCCCAGACTAGAATGCAATGGTGCAATCTCAGCTCACTGCAACCTCCGTCTCCCAGGTGCAAATGATTCTCCAGTCTGAGCCTCCTGAGTAATTGGGATTGCAGGCACCAAAATCCATGCCCAGATAATTTTTGTATTTTTGGTGGAGATGGGGTTTCACTGTGTCGACCAGGCTGGTCCCTAAGTCCTGACGTAAAGTGATCTGCCTGCCACAGCCTCCCAATGCTGGGATTACAGGTGTGAGCCACCATGCCTAGCCTTCAGGTTAGAATTTGTCCTGAAGTTCATGTGGTTTCAAAATTTCAAACAAAATTTCCTCATGGTATAAATGCCTTGGCTTCACATTATTTATATGATTCAAATGGAATCCTATCAATTCAGTGAATATGAGTCAATCAAGTGGATTCATAGGGGACATATAAAATTCAATTCAAATTCAAAAGCAGGCAAAAGTAATCTACTGTATTAAACCCTAGTTACTCCTGGGGTGGCAGGAGGTATTGACCAGTAAGGACACTTTCAAGGTCTTAGAAGTGATGAATATCTTGATCTAGGCTTTGGTTACAGGATTCTGTAATGTAAAAATTCAATGGGCTACACCTTAAAGATAAGCACACTTGACTACATATGTATTATGCCTCAATTTTTTAAAATAATTTTTTTTTAAAATAGGGTCTCATTCTGTCACCCAGGATAGGGTGCAGTGGCACAATCATAGCTCACTGCAACCTCAAACAACTAGGCTCAGGGAATCCTCCCATCTCAGCCTCTCCAGTAGCTAGGATCACAAGTGTGTGCCACTAAACCGAGCTAATTATTTTTGAGACAGAGTTTCACTCTTGCCCAGGCTGGAGTGCAATGGCGCAAGCTTGACTCACTGCAACCTCTGCCTCTGGGTTCAAGTAATTCTCCTGCCTCAGCCTCCCAGGTAGCTGGGATTACAGGCACTTGCCACCACACCCAGCTAATCTTCTTTTTTTTTTTTTTTTTTTTTTGTATTTTTAGTAGAGATGAAGCTTCGCCATGTTGGCCAGGCTGGTCTTAAACTCCTGATCTCAGGTGATCTACCTGCCTTCGCCTTCCAAAGTGCTGGGATTACAGGCGTGAGCCACTGTACCTAGCCTGCCCAGCTAATTTTTAAATTTTTTGTAAAGATGGGTTTTCACTATGTTGCCCAGGCTGGTCTCAAGCTCCTGGCCTCGAGCGAGCCTCTTACCCCAGCCTTCCAAAGCACTGAGATTATAAGCGCAAGCCACTATGCCTGGCCAAAAAAGGAATATTTAGTGGCCTGGAAAAGTGTCTGTTATATAAATGAAATTATCTCGATTCGAACTTAGAAATTCTGTTCAAACACAGCCACATCTTGCCTCTCCCCGTGGTGCTTCTCCCTGCAATGAATATCCCATTAAATTAGAGATCAAAAACAGACTAAACTAATCGGTAAGGTTAGAAGCTAGGAGAATGCTTCCCTTTGGCAGAGTAGTGACTGGGAGGGGCATCACGGGGGCATGGTGCTACAATGTTGTTTTCTGATCTGAGTGCATTACCCAGAGGTATTCCCTTGCAACAATTCATTGAGCTGCATATTTACACATGTTTGCATATATCTTATAACATAATAAAAGGTTTATGTTAAAAAAAACTTAAAAAAAATTATTTTGCTCTGAAACCTGGCATTGAGCACAGTATAGGTGGTGAAGGGAATCAACTTGGGAAAAAAATACCCAAACTCCTTACCCTGGCTTATTACTTCACCCATGTTAAGCAGCTATCTGTCTTCCATTCTGTGCAAATGAAAAGCAGGGACTATCTGCCTTTAAAACTAAAACATGACCTATATGGGTTCTGAAAGATATTACCTGCCTTAGCAATCAGCTGCCTTTATTTCTTAAGAGGCATTGTGCATTGTCTGAAGGTTACATAAAGATCAAAGGCAGTAATTTTTTAAAGTTAAAATATTGTTTTGGCATTGCACCTTTTCATTAGAGTAATGGTTCAAATCTTATTTCCTAACTCAGAAACAGAAAGTCAAATACTGCGTGTTCTCACTTATAAGATAATGGGTACACATGAACATAGAAAACAGAATAATGGATGCTGGTAACTCTGAATGGAGGGAGTTACAAGATAGATACAATGTACATTATTCAAGGGATAGTTACACTAAAAGCCCAGTCTTCCCCACTATGAAATATATCTATGTAACAAAACTGCACTTATAGCCTCTAAATCTTTTTTTTTTTTTTCTTTTGAGACAGAGTCTCACTCTGTTGCCCAGGCTGGAGTACAGTGGCACAGTCTCAGCTCACTGCAACCGCCACTTCCCACATTCAAGCGATTCTCCTGCCCCAGCCTCCCAAGTAGCTGGGACTACAGGCTTATGCCACCACGCCCGGCTAATTTTTTGTATTTTTAGTTGAGATGAAGTTTCACTGTGTTAGCCAGGATGGTCTCGATCTCCTGACCTTGTGATCTGCCCACCTTGGCCTCCCAAAGTACTGAGATTACAGGCATGCGCCACCACACCCAAACCCACTAAATCTATTTTTTAAAATCTTATTTCTATTTTATTTGCAATCCCATCTCAGCCATTTTAATATAGTTCAATTTCAATTTCAGTGAAGAAAGCTTTCTAAAAGTAGCTTTAAATTTTGTTTTGTGGTTCTTGTGGCTTTATCTTTTTTGAATTTTTCTGTCAGGACTTAATAAGGAACTAATTGAGGCTAAACATGGCCATACCTAAAACATATAGGACAAGGCAAAAAGACTCTCAGAATACAATAAATTCCAAATCTAGTTTCTCTTCCTTTGATAATTTATTTTTAAGTTGAGCCTAGATAAAAATATTTTCTAAACACTCTCAGTTTGCTCCTTCAGCCATATCTTTTACATTATCATTTTATTTTATTTTATTTATTTTTTGAGACAGAGTCTCATTTTGTCACCCAGGCTGGAGTGCAGTGGTACAATCTTGGTCCACTGTAACCTCCACCTCCTGGGTTTAAAGGATTCTCCTGCCTCAGCCTCCAGAGTAGCTGGGACCTGAGGCGCCTGCCACCATGCCTGGCTAATTTTTGTGTTCTTAATAGAGGTAAGGTTTCACCATGTTGACCAGACTGGTAACTCCAGACTTCGAATGATCCGCCCACTTCAGCCTCTTAAAGTGCTGGGATTACAGACATGAGCTGCCACGTCCAGCCCACATTATCATTTTAGATACTTACCCAGTAAATTTGTTTTCCAACCACAAACAAGGTCACATCTATCCCAGCTGTCACAGAGTCAGAATGGATTGCCAGAAACCAGGCTCACTCGTGGGATGCTGTCACGGATGCATAGGTCGTTACCTTTGCCAGAAAGAACCTTAAAGGAAACATTAGGAAAAAATATGCATTAGATCCCTAACAAGAACATCCCTAACAAGAACATCTTTAATAACATGTTACTTTAGATAAGTTTAGCAGGCAATCCTTTCAAATTATTTTCATTATCGTGGAGAACAATAAAAAGGGGATGTGTTCAAAAAGAGTTTTGAGATGGGCCTTGGTGGAGAGGAATTGGCTGCTATTCAGCTAAGGAGTGTCATGTGAGTGAAATGTGTTTCCATTATGCAGGCTTGCAGCCTCAAATCTGTGATTTTCCCATCCCCAGTCTCTACATTTCAGGAGCCTCAATACCAACCCCTATAAGCCTCCTAATCAGACACATAGTGTCCCCAATCACAGGCCTCCAGTCTCCAACCCTCAGAGGTTCTCATAGTCATTGATATGCCCGTATGTTCAGATCTGACCAGGAAAGACTACTGGTCAGTAACTACAAAGCACACTGATCATATCTGATTGCCAGTGAATTACACAGATCCCAGTCATGAACCCACACTGATTGCCGATGATATCCCAACGCCTGGGGATCAATTGTTGATTCTCACACTCTCATTCCCACCCACAAGTGACAGTCCAAATCACCGAGCCTCATTGAGGCGTACCTTTAAGATAAGCACACTTGACTCTATTCTCCATTCCCTGATCTACAAAAGTCCAATCATTAATACTCTCCGATCCTCCACCCATAATATGAAGGACGTCTCAATCACCGATGACCCAAAACATTTCTCCAAACATTAATCACCACTGACCCCCCTCATAAATGGACACCAAAGTTTCCACAGTCACCAATTCTAGTACCCAAAGTATTACTGCCCACAGAACTTAGAACTTCCGATCACTGATCCTCTCGGGCTTCGGTCATTAACCCTAAAGCTCTCCAAACCTGTGTCTGAAAAATCCCACTTGACCCCAGACCCATGAAGACCATTACAACTGACCACTATGCACCCTGCAAATCAAGACATTTCACAGAACCCGCGTTTATTGATTCCCACACACTCCCAATCTATCTTCTTCAGAGACCGTGCCACTGACTCCCGCAAATCTCTGCCCGCCACCACTGAGGCCCCGCGAGGCTCAGACGCCCAATCTCTTAACCCTTCGGTCACCTTGTCATTGAACCTTACGAGCACCCATAACTGACCCAGTCGGCCACCGTAGTCGCCGGGTCACTCTCCTCCACCGGTCTCCAGGTTTGACCGTTTCTCAAACCGACCCTTCCCATTTATGCTGGATCCGTGCCCTCAGTCCGAAATTGATCGTCCTGCCACGCCGCCTCACTGCAGTATAAGGTCGTCCCATCCTGAATGGCCGGTGCGCAGACTCAATTGCGACATTTAAGCTATCAGCCGCCACCCGGCAACATTCCAGAGAACAGGATTCTGGGTTTCTCAAAGCTGTAATGGGACATATGATGGCGGCTCCTGCTTGACTCTTACTGGGGGCGGCCATGTTTAAAGCTGTGCCGTACAACAGATAATTAAGCCCTTTGCTAGACCAAAAGATCAGGCTATTTTAGGATAGGGAGAAGCAGGCTTCCCTGGGTCCCTAAACAGAGATGTCGTCTCTGCTCTTAACTCAGCATCTCAGATGCCAAAACGTCCTGTGACCGACATGGCGGCGCCCAGACTTCAGAGCTGAGCTTTCTTTGTCTCCGGCAACCTCGTGAGATGGCCGCGTACATTTTTACAGCTTCTTACGTGCAATGGGTGAGGCCTTTCCGAGGAGGAGCTCCCCTATGACAATGTAAAACATTTTTCTGAGCTGGCTCTAGGGGTTAGAGAGCAGCCAAGAGACCTGGTTTTCTATTACGGTGACAGAGACAGCCTATGAGGGGGCGTGACCTTCACGGAGAGGGCGGAGCCGCAAGGAAAAGGCGGGGCCGCCGCAGCAGTAAGAGATCTGAGTTCCTAGCGCATAATGGGAAGGAAATGTTGAAAGCAAGGTCTTTACGTAAGGAGGCTTGCCCGAGAAGCCGACCTGAGGGAAGGATATGAGTGCAAGCAGTTTATTTGGCAGGTAGGACATGGAGAAGTGAGACGGGACAGAAGTGAGACGGGAGGGATGGCAACGAATATACAGTGCATCGATGAGCAAATTAGGTCTGCGATCAGTGGGGGCTCGGTCAGCTTGGCAACTCTGCGGGACTGTGTAGAAACCACTTCCAAGCTGTCACACCCACCAGGCCGATGAAGCTGAGATATGTATACAACATTTATCTTCCTCATTGTTTTAGGGCCACTCCAGAGGTGTTAAAGCCCCAGCACTTCCTACCTGCCTCATGGGAAGGTCTCAGGCTGAGTCTGTAGGTTCCTGCAGTAAGAAGCCAGCGGTATGCATAAGATTGCCCAGGGGTGGTGGCTGGGTACCCACAGCGTTCCCTACAGTCCAGCCTTGAATACCACCTAATGCAGTATTGGAACATCTCTGGAAAATATTGCCTTGTCTTGTGAAAATGAATTTTTTTTTTTTTTTTTTTTTGAGACGGAGTTTCGCTCTTATTACCCAGGCTGGAGTGCAATGGCGCGATCTCGGCTCACCGCAACCTCCGCCTCCTGGGTTCAGGCAATTCTCCTGCCTCAGCCTCCTGAGTAGCTGGGATTACAGGCACGCGCCACCATGCCCAGCTAATTTTTGGTACTTTTAGTAGAGACGGGGTTTCACCTTGTTGACCAGGATGGTCTTGATCTCTTGACCTCGTGATCCACCCGCCTCGGCCTCCCAAAGTGCTGGGATTACAGGCTTGAGCCACCGCGCCCGGCCGAAAATGAATTTTTAAATAAATCCGAATTCCAACTGGTTATCCTAGCGACTGATTCAGTAACTGACCTCCGAAATGGTTCCCAGTGATTCCTACCTCCTGGTATTCACACTCTTATGTAGTCCCCTCCCACATTGTATCAATGTTGGACTGTGAGACTAATAGAATACTGTAGCAGTGTTAGCATTTCCACTGCTGATATTAAATATAATAATAAAAGACACCTTGACTTCTGTCTTGAAGTCTGCTGCCCCCTCTTTGAGAGAAGTTATTCATGAGGACACTGAGACAGACTATAGAGAGGCCCATGTAGAAAGGAACTGAGGGGGCCTTCCTATAACCAAGTGGATCACTCTTGGAAGCACATCTCCCAGCCCCAGTAAAACCCTGAGATGACTGCAGGCCCTGCCAATAGTTTGACTGTAACTGCAAGAGAGACTCAGTCACAACCACTGAGCTATAGCAGCTCACATATTCCTGACCCTCAGAAAGTGTATGAGGTCCTAAATGTTTGTTGTTTTAAGCTTCTAAGTTTAATTTGTTATGCATCAATAGATAACTTTGATGCTGTGTCAAAATGCTACAATTGACATTTCTGAATTCCTTTTTTGTTTGTTTGAGACAGAGTTTCGCTCTTGTTGCCCAGGCTAGAATGCAATGGTGTGATCTTGGCTCACCAAAACCTCCGCCTCCCAGTTTGATTTTCCTGGGGTAAAGCCCTGTTTTTCTTTTCTTTTCATATTTCACCAGGTATGGGAAGTTGTGGATTTATAACCAGAGTAAATTAAGGAATTTCACATTATGAATTGAATTTGAGATGGACTGGGCTGGTGATACCTGGAAAGGGTAAATGAAAATCCACTCTGGAGGCACCTTCTGCCTCAAGGAGCCTCCACAAGTAATATTGCAGGAACAAGGACCAGCAAGTTGTCACAGATATCCAGCATGCAAGAGAACAGAACCACATGAATGAGATCAAATAGATACAACAGATAGTATAAGCAGATTCATCTAACAGAGTAGCTTTGAACTAGGGATGTTGCTTTGGTTTGGGTGCAAGGCCCTCATTCTACTTCTCTTAGCCCACAACTGTGAGTCTTCAAGAAATATGAATATACATTACATTGACAGCTAGCCCTTGTTATCTACTGTCAGTACATACCATGTCACCACTAATTTCCCATAAAACCTGCCTCCCCTCCAAAGTCTTTATAGGAGCTGTAGTAGTTGCTTTTGTTTAGATTATGGGGTTTATTTCCCACTGTATCCTCTATAAGTGGTGGTTGATATTGTTTATTTCTAATCAGCACTAATTTCTACCTCTTTTTGTGCTCTTACCTGTGTTTCAGGGACTGGAAACCTAAGAATTTTACTTCCTAGACTATTTGCTACATGTCATCTAAAGAATCTGGTTACTGCAAAAGATATGGTAAATAAGATTTAGATAAAGAAGGGAGGTAGATGCCTTTTTTTTTTTTTTTTTAATAGCAGTGAAGTGATATATAGACCAGCAGATATAGGCATCTAAGTGAACTCATCAGTCACCAGCAACAATTTTCTGAAACTTCCTGACCTCCAGATTGCAGCTTCCTTAATGTGAGTTTAAAACCAGCCAGATGCTACTCTTAAGTTCCATGCATATGGCAAGGGTCCAGGAAATAAGAAACAGGGTTAAAGGGGTGGTGTCATGGGGCATTTACTTGAATTTTTTATGCTATAATTTTCTCATCTTTAAAATGGTGATAATAATCAAATTGTCAGTTATTAAATAAACTAACACCGTGAAAAAGAAAATTTCTTCAAGGCTGTTTTTGCTTTCAGTAACAGTTTCTGAAAGCCTTTCCAGTTTCTGCCCATTCTCATGTTTGAGGTTTGTCTTATGGACATATTCTACTTCCAGTTCTGTTTGTCCAAACTCATCAAATATTCCTTAAGATTGGTGTTATTTATTTATTTATTTAGAGATGGAGTCTCACTCTGTTGCCAAACTGGAGTGCAGTGGCGTGATCTAGGTTCACTGCAACCTCCAACTTCTGGGTTCAAGCGATTCTCCTGCCTCAGCCTCTCAAGTAGCCCAGACTACAGGTGTGCAGCAGCACGCCCAGCTAATTTTTGTATTTTTAGTACAGATGGGGCTTCACCATGTTGGACAGGATGGTCTCTATATCTTGACATTGTAATCCACCTGCCTTGGCCTCCTAAAGTACTGGGATTACAGGAGTGAGCCACCCTGCCCAGCCTATTTTATTTTAAACTACATAAGTCATACCACAATAAAACTGATTTAAAGTATATGGTACTTGTAAAAAGTAACTAAACCTGGTATATAAAAATATATAGAAAATTTGAGTTTTGGCTGAAGACTGAAACTATTATAGAAACAAAAAATGGGCCAGGCATGGTGGTTTATGCCTATAATCCCAGCACTTTAGGAGGCTGAGGTGGGCGGGTCACTGAGGTCGGGAGTTCAAGAGCAGCCTGGGCAACATGGTAAAACCCCATCTCTACTAAAAATACAAAAATTAGCCAGGTGTGGTGGTGTGTGCCTGTAGTCTCAGCTACTCAGGAAGCTGAGGCGTAAGAATCGTTTGAACCCAGGAGGCAGAGGTTGCAGTGAGCTCGCACCACTGCACTCCAGCCTGGGTGACAGAGTGAAACTCTGTCAAAAAAAAAAAAAAAATCAACTCCAAATGACAATTTTCATTACTTTCAAATAACTAAAATAAAGGACAATAGATGTGAAGATCAGATTACACACAGGAAACAAAAAGTTAACCAAGTGGAAAGGAGGACATGAATTTTGTAGTAAGAGTTTGAGAAGAAAATGAGAAAAAAGCTAGTATGGGCACAAGATATATAGTAATTAAGTCTTATGTTTATTAAATCAGGGTTCTGAAATTAAAAGAAGTTCAGAAAGTAGAGAAAATATTAGAAGATTAGAAAAGTGGTAGATGAAAAGAAGGCACACTTTTTTGGCAAATGAAAATAACATATTTTTATTTTTGTATTTCATGTGACCATGATTAGTTATGATTTTATAATCGCTCCTAACATCCTCATTACAGATTACTTTTTTCTTTTCTTTTTGAGTCAGGGTCTTGCTCTGTCACTTAAGCTGGAGTACAATGGCACCATCTTGGCTTTACTGCAGTCTCAACCTGTTGAGCTCAAGTGATCCTCCCACCTCAGCCTCCCAAGTGACTGGGACTACAAGCATGTCCCAACATGCCTGGCTAATTTTATTTATTTGTAGAGATGGAGTCTTACTATGTTGCCCAGACTGGTCTCAAACTCTTGGGCTCTTTGTTATCTTTTTTAACTGACAAGGGCATACTTTCAAGAAACAGGTCTGTGACGGGCATGGTGA